TCCAAAGTGTAGTCTGAAAAGGGCTTCATAGGTCTTTGTGCATTCGTCATCACGACAAGCCCTAAGGCCTGAATCGCAGGCCTGAATCCCACACCCAAAGCTGGAAACCCCAAAATCCCAAGCTCGACAAAGCAACCTGTCCGAGGCTCCCAAAGACCGGAGCTTCAAAGCTCTCTCGGCAGTCGCCCTGTTGGGTCTCCTGTTGGCCTTGTTCTTTGGCCTTCTTGGGCCTCAGGTGGACTGGAGGCCGGAGGTTGGGCTCAGACTTTAAGGGAATTATATGCGCGTGGGTTAATGGAAAAGAAAATGGAAACTACTACAGTATAATGGGGTATATGAATAACCCTATATAGGGGAGTATGGGGTTATTCTCAAAATTATGGACCCTTTTTGGGTACGAATTATATTATAGCCCCTAGCATTTAGGGGTAGCAGAACGGGACCCTAATTTGGGAATTACCCGAATATTGTAATGGAGAAGAACGTGGAAATCCACGTGGAAAAAAGACGGGAAGGGTTATCTAAGAAGATAGCTTCATGAAGAGTTTAGGATTTGGGGATCTGGGGTTTGCAGTATGGGTTAGGCTGGGTGGAGATTCTGCAGCACAGATGCATTTAGCAATATATAGGGGTCCCAGACACTCATCACCACCTTTGTAAATTTTTCTAGAATCTCCAAAATAGGACCCCTGTGCAAATGAGCTTCTCAAGAAGTGTTGCTTATCCATGAATGTTGTTCTGTTTTACACGGGCCGCGGGCCGTTTCCAAGCCACTCATATGGCCGCCATGTTTGTTGAGGGAGCTGAGTTCGAAGGGGGTAGGGAGGAAGGTTCTCGGACACTGTGAGTTCTATACCTGCTGCCTTGGAATACGACCCTAAATCCTAATCCCTAAACCCCAGCGTCGGAAGTTTCTCTAGGATCTTGTGTTGCCGGAGCTCAAAGGGGATGCAAACTCAAAGATTAAACCCTTCACCCCGATTCAGCTTAGTCTGCCAGCATGGGATTGGAGTTCTAGGGATAAATATCTGAATTATGGTGACAGCTGCGGGATTCCCCACAGCCTCTTTTGAGGAAGTCTTAGCTAGCGATGATGGAAAAGAACATGGAAACTACATATCGTATTATGTTATATTCTATCATATTATATTGGATATGTTATATCAAACTATATTTTCCGCAATAGCCTACTTTATGTGGCATAGGCATCAACAAATGATTTGATAAGGCATCAAGAAAATTTGCCAAGCATCAAACATGATTTGAGCCGTAGTCTCTTTCCAACTATTGTTCTCATCGGTATTGCTACCAGTATACGTAATATCCGTATTCGTACTGTGAGTACTTCTATTCCCCATTCACTTTATTCTTGCGAATGTATAGTACCAGTTATCCTCAAATTTTTCTTGATGCTTATCAAGCTATTTTTGGATACTGTGCGCAAGTTTTTCATGTTTCTTGATTTCTTAGACACCTTTTTTCTTGATGCATATTATTTTTTCTTGATGCGTCACCCTGGACTTTATGTTCGGGTTCTATTGGGGATATATGGGGATAATGGAAAATACAATGGAAACTACAGGGATCTTGGGCCTATTTAGGGATTATGTGGGGATTATAGGGTATAAAGTTTGTTGAGAGAGGCGGGGCGCTGCACTCACATTGGCCTCGCTGTGCGCGGCCTGTGGATGCGCCTGGCTGCTTCGCGCGGGCAAGGCGGAGCACCTTGTGCTGTATCTGTCCCTGGGTCATCGTTACGGTTTGAGATGGTAATTTCCCAAAATAAGGGGAACCCAATATAGACCCCAAAATACTATGGTCCTTATTATAGGGACCCCCAAATTGGTACCCCTAATTTGGGGAAACTATCAAATAGGAGTTTAGGTGCTGGGGTTTATTCTGCAGTGTTCGATGAATTCGATGAGACTCAACAAATGCAGCGATGCATCACTATGACTCCAACGACTTCCCAGGTCGAGTGAGACTTCCGACAAGGAGTCCGTGACCAGCGGGTTCCGGGGGATGTGGGAATTAGGTTTAGTATTCCTAGGTTACGGTTTAGGTTTGGAGTTTAAGGTTTCGGCCTGTGGTTTAGTGTTGGATTGGAAAACTGGGGTCTAGGGAGTTTAAATGAGAACCTCGGCTACATTTCAACCTTTCCAGTCTGCGTTGTAACCTCCCGCCATCAGCATCATCGAGCCACAAGACAAGAGAAGCTTGCTGCCAAGCTCCCCTGAATCTCTAACTGGACCTTAGGTTTTCCCTCGTAGAGCCCCGCCTTTTATGAGAGTGTAGGATGTGGGAGCAGCCAAACTTTGCCTGCAGTTTCAGCTGCAGCATTCGCAGATGCCATTTGGGCTTGGACTCTTTGGGTCATAGCCAAGGTTTCCATACACACCAGAATATGCCACACCCCTGAATGCAAAACCTTCAAACCCGAACCAAATCCAAACCCTTGGCCAGAAGTGCGATGACACGCTTCGCAGGTTCTTCCTCACAATTATCATTTATCACCATTACGCTTCTTAGTCGTGTTAATGTTATTCGCGTAAAGATTGTTGTCGCAACCGTAGGTATGATAACAATGTTGCCTAAAGCCCGAGATCAAAGTACATGTGTGAAATCTCAAGCACGCAGAAGGCAAATCCGAACCCCCACACCCAAAAGCCCAAGCCTGATATTCCAAGACACCAAGCCCTACCCCCAAACTCTGACACCTGAACCAAAAACCCGACATCTTTCCACGGGAAATCTACATCCTGAACCCTAGCCCCTAAACCTCCTGCGAAATGCAAGGTCCTGTACCCGCAACCCCGAATCCCAAACCTTACGGCCTGAAAACCTGACCCCAAATCCTAAATCCGAAGGTTAGAATCCTAAGCCCGAAGGCCTGAATCCTACACCCTAGACTTGGCGAAAAGGAGGCCATTAGCGCAGGGAAGTCCATTGAGGCAGTTATCGGAGAAGCGCTTTCGACCTCCAGGCGGGCCAGCTATCCGGGATGGTTCAAAATTTGGAGTAGGGTTTAGGGTTTAGGGTTTAGGGTCTCGGGTTTAGGATTCTATAGGATTATATAGGATTAAAATGGGGGTAAATATAGGGGATATATGGGGGATCATGGAAAAGACGATGGAAACTACTATTTAGGGTTTAGGGTCTCGGGTTTAGGATTCTATAGGATTATATAGGGGTTATTTAGGGGATAATGGAAAAGAACATGGAAACTACCATTTCCGGGTTTTTGGTTTGTGGTTTCGGTCTGAGGGTTCAGGCTTCAAAGTTTTGGATTCAGGGTTTCGGGTTGATGAGTTCGAAGGCTCACTTGGAGGTTAGGGCTCGCTGTGTCCGTTTTGAGGTCTATTAAAGGTTGAGGCTTCAGGGTCTAAAGTAATGGGGTTGAAGGTATGGGATTTAGGCTTAAGTTTTCTCGATGACCCCTATGACGTGCGAAAAAAGTACCGACTTATGGAAATCCTGGTGAGACTATCATGGAGACCCACCTGAAACCTACCCATCTCCACCTGTAGATAGCTTCCAGTTTGGGGCGTTGGTGTGGGGGCTTGTGTTTAGGTTTCCAGCTTTGCAAGTGTTGGGAAATGCAGGGTCTGGGTTCAAAAGAATTCAGGGTTAGAGTCGCAAAGCTCATTTTCCTTTGTCATGTGCTTTGTTCCTCCAAAGTGTGCTACTATACCAAAAAGTGAGCCCAGTTCAAGAGTACATCCCAACCATGATAATGGATCTGTCCAACGTACGTACAATTACAAGTGAGGGTAGGAGGTGATTTAGTGGATTTCTGAGCCTTCCAACATGCACAATGCACGGGTTGGTCAGTTAATCCATTCCTCCCAATTTCCTCTCCACCTCTGAATTTCCAATATTGATTGAAAGTGGCATTCTTAGGAGACATTTTTGACATAAAGTTCAACACCCTCAACCTCCAGCAGAGGGTTAATGTTGGAAAAGAGGATTCAGGTAACCCCAACCCCTATATTAAAGACCCCATCAGGAACAAATGATAGCCGTAGCGTCCTCAGGGATCGGATAGCCTAAATCTCCCCGTGGATTAGGGGAGAGGGATGAGCAACCACAACCCATTGCACTGCAGTTGGGGTGGAATGTTTAAGGTTTAGAGAGTGGGCTTGGGCTTCACGTTTTAGGGCCATATTCTGGGTTTAGGGTTTAGGGCTTAGGGTTTTTGGTTCAGGGTAATTCTGTTTAGGAGAGGTCATCTGCACGAAAGCGTAAGCCGTATGTCCTGATCCCGAACCGGAAGCCCTGATGCCTGAACCCATCCCTGATCAGTAAACAGAAAGCCTCAAATCCCAAACCGGAATCTGGAAAGTTAGTCCTCAAAAGACACATTTACGCTTCGAGCCCTTCAGCATTTAAATCTTACACTCGAAGCCCTAGCCTCCTTAAATCTTAGAGTTCTTGTCCAAACTGCTGGCCCTAAACATTCCAACCTTCGAGGCGAAAAGAAGCTGTGGTGTTGCTGCTTAGAGCCGCCGGGTGGCGCGGCAGAGTTGGGGCCTTCCTGGTCTGGGGTTCAGCATTTGAGGTTTACTGGGTTGCTGTTTTGGAACTTATAAACTGAGTTACCAAAATGGGTATAGGTATATATGTATATAGTAATTCAAAGTGTTTCCCCAATTTGGTAATTTAGATTAAGTTCCCTAACAGCAGCCCAGTTTAGGATGAGGATTTAAGTAGTTCAGGGTTCAGGCGCAGGGTCTACGGTTTAATGCATGTAGCAATCGCTCCTAGGTCTGAGCAACCCACCATCAACGCCCCTGAGACTAGAAATTCCTCAAGGCTGGCCCGAATCCTAAGCCCTAAGCGCTGGACCCCAAACACGGCATGTTAAATCTAGACTTGCTGTGTTTCAAGCGCCATGTCGCAGGGAATTTCTGCAGACTGGAGCTCTGGAGAAAAGGCGCGATAAACAACTTAAGCCCCAGCCTTCCAACCTGAAACCCAAACCCATGCAGCTCAGGTTTCAGATGTACAATCAGGAGACTGGCGCTCCAGTTGGTTGCGCAGAGGATTCACGGCTCAGAGAAACATGAGAGCATCAGGGGTAGGGTGCTTAGGGTCATGTATGGGATAATGGAAAAGAAAATGGAAACTACTATAATGGGGATAATATAGGGGTATATTATATATGGGATTTATTGGGATAATGGAAAAGAAAATGGAAACTAGGATTCAGGATGAAACTGCTTGGGCTTTCGTGGTTTGGGATTTTGACTCAAGGTGCAGGGAGTATGGGAGTATGGCTCAGGCTGTAAGACTTCAAAATTCAGGGATTTCCGTTCAGCTTCTAAAGCTTCCGGATGAGAATATGGACCTACGACTCAGGGTTTGGGGGTAAGAGTGTTCAGGCTTCGCGAGATTTTCTGACTCCTGCCACTTGAGCTTGGGCGTCCATTTTTTTGCATTGCATCCTCCCTAAAGTCAGATTCAAAGCCTACGTGGTAGTTGCCCTGAACAGGGGGGACCTCAGCAGAGACCCCAAAATTTCATAATCCTTACTACAGGGGCCCGGAAATTCCCAAGGCTTAGGGTGAAAGATGTGACTGTTACCTTCTTGTGGCCGTTTCTCTTCATGTGTCCGCAAGAAACAGCTGTGACCCCAAGGTCCAGACCCCCTAACCCTAAACCCTAGACCCAACCCCCCCGACCCACGGCTCGAGCCTGAAGGTTGAAACTCAAATCATAAATTTCAATCCCTGAAGCCATAAAACTAAATCCCAAAGCCAAAAACCAAAACCTTAACCTTTAAACCTCAATGCTAGGACGCAACTGTAAGCCCTAAATCCACCCGAACAGAAACATTCAACACGAGGACTACGTGAGGGACGGGCTGCGCTATGGCGAGCTGTCAGGGGGCCAGAAGCACCTGATCCTTGGCCTGGATTTGGGGCTTACCTTGTTGGTTTAGGAAACAAGGATCAGTCAAGGATCAGTAGTCTAAACCCCAAACCCTGGATCCTTATACGCCTACTACATGCCCTTTTTGTACACTTAAGGGTGCCTAGGATCCCTGACCCACAAAAACAGCAAGCAGACAAGAACTCCCACGCAAACCAGGACTTCAGTGTGTGACACGCTATACCCCAAACCCCTCACCCAAACTCCTGAGCATCCCGCACCCCTTGAGTCTTGGTTGATAATCTTTATTCCGACCTGAGTCGTATTTTGAATTTGCTACTGTAGTGGTCCCATACATCTCCTGTGGTTGTAGCACTTGTCTGGTTCACCCACCAAAAAAGTGTTTTGCAAACTTCCTCTGTGCTCTGTACTGTGTTTTTCTTCAAGTCCTACCATAGACCTAATCAAACAGGATGTCAGCATGCACCCGGGAACCATGAAGCAGACGCAATCCCCAACTGAGGATCTACATCCTCCGATACTTTGCTCGCTGCCTAGCTGCTGATGCTACCTGCAGGGTGGTGCTGCTCTGCGACGAGCTACTAGGAGGCCACTGGGTTTGAACTTGGAAGGGGAATTTTGCCTTCTGTTGGCGTTAGTTAATTCTGATTTCTACCATTTCGACAGCTGCTATAACAATTACGAAGTGTAGAAGCAACAAGATGAGGAACAAATTGTTCGTCAGGTGAACCGTCGACCAAACAACAAGGACAAATCGTGAATGGCAGTCGCTGCACTGCTAACTGACACTAAGCCGTCTCTCCCGGGCTAAGCCCTAAAGTCCAAGCCCCAGGCGTCACAACAATCCTGTCTCTTAACGCCGAAGCTCTCTCAAAAGCAGTAGTTTTGCAAAGCACTTTCAAAGACGGCATGTTTTGCCCCCTGTTCCAGAAACTGCTCCAATTGCAGCCAGCAGAGGCCTGGACTACCTTCGACAGCCGAGAGTCCTGCGGATGCTCCGACGTCTGAAGAAGGCCAAACCAACCATTGCCTGCCCTCCCTTGAAAATGATTTGTGTTAAGATTAATGATTTTGTAAGGCTATATGGGTTATAGTCTAAACTCCAGTAAGGGGGGTTATATAGGGGATTATATAGGGGAGAATTATAGGGGTTATCAAGGGGGATACTAGGACTTTAGACTATAGCTCATGTCGGCTGGCAGTTTTGGGAGGGTCGACTGAGGGCTTATAGGCTCGGGCCCGAGGGTCCAGGGTTCAAGATGTAGGGTTTACGGAACTGTGGCTGTCGGGGTTTAGGGTGTAGGGTTTAGGGTTATTTGAAGGATTGTGTGATTCTACTTGTGTTCACAGGGCTGTTGCAGTCAGGATTTAGGGCTGAGGCTTCCCAATGGAATTCTCAGCACTAGGGGATTATTACGGAGTTTGAGAAAATTGTCTAGGTATCATCGCAGTTATGTGTGGCTTAGCAATTGAGCACATACATCTTTAGAAGGCATGCGCTAGTGTCATAAGTATCAATTGAACAACACATGTGCTTTCGCTTCTATATTCTTGCACCGGGCGCCCCCTAGAAGCCTCAAGTTTCGGGTTTCGGTTGTCATGGCAGGAAGGTCCTGCTATGTGGCAATCTACAGCCCGAAGTTCATGAACCACTCGGCCTTCTCACGCCTGTTTAGGGTTTAGGGCTTAGGAAGCGAAGAACGGTGGTGGATGGACAAAATCTTACATGAGCACGTGCATTAACTGTGGAACCCTGGTGGTAAATTATAGTGCTTTAGTAAATGTAGGGTCATGCAGAATCTCGTTCAGCACCGACAGCCCGCCTCCAACAACCCTAGGATTCCAGTGCTGCTTGGGGCACAATGTCACCATGTTAGAGTCCAAAATCCCCACTCGAAAGACTCCACACCTCAAACCCTGAAATTCTGAGCCCCAAAACCCTATAAACCGTATGCTCTCATCACCCATCAGGTTTAGGGTTCAGGGTTTAGGATTCAGGGTTTGCGGTGTAGGGTGTAGGGTTCAGGGTTTAAGGTTTAGGGTTTGGGGCCACCAGGAGCTAAGTTTGGCTGTTCTGTACATCTCCACTGAGCTCCACCAGCTGCATCTGGTAGCAGACGACTTTGCCTTTCTCCATGATGGTGGAATCTGCGAATTTGGCCCTGCAGAGGACGGCTCAAGGGGAGTAGTGTTCAGGATTTAGGTTTGAGGTTTAGAGTTTAGGGTTTAAGATTCAGGGTTTAAGGTCTAGGGTTTAGGGTACAGGGTTTAAGGGATGTAAAAGACTTTAGTGCTATCAGATTACCATTATATGGGGTGCAGGGTTTACGTTTTAGGATGTAGGATTTAGAGTTTTAGGCTGAGGGTGTAGGGTTGAGGTTCTCCCTGGACTCCTTCCGGCCTGCTGGTGCAGACGGAGAAGACTTCTACAACAGCAATTTCCATATTATAACCCGTATATGATCCCGCAATTATCATCCCGTTGCCTCACACCCACACTTTTCATTCCTGACGAAGCTCATCACCCCGCCAAGAACGTTGTTCCTCATACGGGGATGAACTAAGCAGGAGTACATGTTGAATGATAGGGAGCATATTTAGAGGTCCTCCCGTAGGAGTACATTGAGATTCTTTCTCGGGACATTTTTAGGTATCAAGAGGTCATCAGGGGCACCAAAGGCAGCCACTACGAAGATTCTGGATGCCGGATGTAGACTGTCTCCAAACCCAAGGCTTCTAGTCCCCCTTAAGTAGATAGAATAGGGAGTATATCGGGATCTTATTATAACATACCCATATGGGATCTTATTGTAACATACCCAAAGCCATATTCTATCTACTTAAGGGGGACTATAAACCCTGAATCCTAACCCTGAATCCTGAACCCTAAGCCTGAAACCAAACCTTACACCCTGAATCCTCAGCTCAGCTGAAAGGAGGTGATGGAGTTTCCAAAGCACCCAGCCACAAAGGATTATCTTCATCAGCTCCCCTTCCTGCACTCAGCGGAAGAATTAGGGGGCACTTTTGGTGTCTCAGTGCTTAGGGCGCCTTAGCTAGGGGTTTGGGCTTGTGGGATTTCCTGGGACCCCAAACCCAGAATCCTAAAGCCTCAAACCCAACACCCAAATGTAACCCCCCGTTCCTAAACCCTAAAACCCCTCAAGCTCTTCAACAGCTAACCTTAGGTAAATCCCCCCTGTAGTAATGGCTCCTTAATATGGAGTCAATAGGGCCTTAAAATACCTACAATAGTCCCTTGTGGTACCGATTACTGGGTGGGGGATAAACCCAAAGCTAGGGACATTAGGAGGGACCCCTAATAGGGACCCTTCATCCCATTACCATATATAACCCTTATATAGCCATCATATAACCCTTATATCCCTAGGTAGTCCCCATATTAACCTCCATAAGCTACAAGGGTCCCTATTAAGGGCCCTTCTAAAGTCCTTAGACCAAAGCTAACCTTAAAACTGCTAAGCCCTCATCCCAGGTTCAAAAGCCTTCCTGGCGGCCACAGACTGGGTGGAAAGCTTGCAGAAGCTTTTGACAAACTTGCAGAGGACTTAGGGTTTAGGTTTCGAGATTTGCGGTTCAGGGTGTAGGATTTAGGGGTTGGTGTGTTGAGTTTTGGAAACATTAAATGGCGAAAGGATTGCAATAGGCTACTCAGGTTGAGATGTGGGGGTTGGGGTACTCCGAATCCTGTCAGGTACAAGGGCTTTCTGGTTTGGGCTTAGGGCCTTTAGGGTGCCCATTGTCTTGAGGAAGTGGGGCCCCCAACCCAAAGCTGCAAAGCCTAAAGTCCAAGCCTGAGACCTGCTCCCAAGCAAAATCCCAGGCCTTGCTCAGCTTTTCCCCCCCGCCATCCGTTAATATTCGTATAGGAAGAACATGAATATAGAGGGACCTTCATATAGTTACCGTTCTCCCCTGTAGTCCTCATTATTCAAGACTTTAAGTTTGTTCCTTCATGTTTGTAACCCTAGGTTTTGGGTCCCGAACACCCCTTATTCAGGGCCATATTCCATGGTCTAGGGACCCAGATGCAAGGGTACAAACCGTAATGGTACAGAGGAAAACTTCCTGAGATTATAGCCCCTTAAGTAGATAGAATATGGGGTATATGGGGAACCTATCATAATACATCCAAAGCCATATTCTATCTACTTAGCGGGAAAATACTAGGTAGAGGGATCACCTACGGCTTTCAACATGAAAGCCTCTCCAGGACGCAGACCTCAACGCAGACTGGCTCTGCCCTGCAAGGCCTCCATGAAGCTTCGTAGAATCAGCTTAGCATGGGGACTACAACGGTTCAGGGTTTAAGGTTTCAGGTTTAGGTTTTAGGGTTTAGGCAGAAGTCCCGAGATGCACTGCACAAAGCTGCAAGCGCCAGGATCTGGAGGCAAGTACAAAAAGTTGAGCTTGGATGTTGGAACTTTACTTGTGCACCCTCAAACCCTAAACCCCTAAACCCTCAACCCGAAATCCTGAACCCCTAAACCCCTCAACTCTGAACTCTAAACCTCAATTCCTCAAAAGATTGTAATCAGGGCCTTGTGGCCCAGGATGCCGATTTTCTTATGATTCTGGCCTTGGTTTTAGGGGTCCCTATGTCAAGCATCCTGAGTTTTACGGGGCAGGCATGGACATGCCTGTTGTGAGAAGTAACTCCCCCTCTCCAGATGAAGGGTTGAATGTTAAAGATTTGGGAGCCAAAGCAAGGGCGCCAGGCTGGAGGGCGCTTCGGCCTTGGGGCGTGTATTTTCAGCTTGTCGGTTCATTTTCATCACGGCTTGGGGCCCAGAGTTCGTTAATTGGATGAAAAGGTTTTCGCAGCGAGCTGCAATGCACTTGGTTTGTCCGTGTTGGCTTGCATGTGAGGTCCGCGGTTTGGCGTAAATTGGAGGCAGGAAGATTGCGGTTACCGTAGATGAAAGCAATGCTCGCGCAATGTAGGAATGTGACAACATCATAGCTGATCATGCAGCCTCTCCGTGATGCAGAAGACTCAGGGTTGCCATGGTGTTTTGTCAGTTTTGTCTTGTTGGTCGTATGGTTTCAGCACAGTGCCTCACCCCTTTTCCCTAAGTTTCAAGCTTTAGATCCCAAGTCCAAGAAGCGGTGGAATCTGCCAAGGACTCGACTCCTCCAGGATGCGCTAGGAGGGCGATGCAGCTGGTTGACAAATCATGGGTTAAGGGTCTGGGTTGGTTAAAGTGATCAAAGGGTTTAAGGTTTAGGGTCAGGTTTTGTGTTGCGGGTTTTGTGGGTCTTGCGCCATGGACATTGTTCACGGCAAGTGTGCAAACAGACGTGGCTAATAATTCCTATTGACACTGGCAATGCTTTGCTTCCCTCCCTTGGCTTATTCTTAGTATTGTTGCCAGTATTAGCATTAAATTCGTTATTATGAATGTTATTGTTACTATTACTATTTTTTCCTATTATTCTTCTCATGATTCTTACGATTATTACAATTAATATTGCGATTAAACTGCAGGCCGCTGCCCAACACATGAGATTCAGGGTTGTGCCCGCCGGCCTGCTTAGGCCTACTTGATGCCTAGTGAAATCACGGATTAGGGTTGAGGGCTTGGGGAGTAGGGTGTGTGGTGTAACACTCTTGTTGCTTCTTCCTGCTGTGATCTAGATTGTTTTGATGACTATCAGGCCCTCTATGGTTTATTTCATTCGTGCTCATACTTTTCATGATCATTTTCTTTCACGTGTTCTTCATAGCGGTCCGCGCTGTATTAACTTGCCATTACTGCTGTTCCTCGTCTGGTTCCCTCTTCCTCGTTCTCGTCCCTTGCCTCCTGCTCCTGCTGCTACAACTGCCCTGCTCGTGGTCCTCCACCTGCTTGCTTTAAGCACTGTTTAGCAGGCCTGTTGCTGGAGCAAATCCAGCCTTTGCACATGGATCTAATGACCATGGCTACATTCAGGATATGTAGCTGTTCGTTTTTTTTTGACAGTCTTGATTGTTCAGCATGGGGTGATTGGGCGGCCACGTCTTTTGTTAGCATCATCACATGTCATGTAGGTTCGTTCTACATATCCGGAATAGCAAACTCCCAAGCATGCGGCCCCATCTGGAGCTTTCAGCGCCAAATCTGTCAGACTTAAGCTCTTCATGCAAACATATCAACGTAAACGCATACCCCGAATATGTAAGGTCTCTTATGGGGAATATTCGGAATATTCAACATTAGGGGTGGGCATGGGGTTTAAGAGTAACATGAAGGGGGTACGACTGAAGCCCCAAAACATCCTGCACCCGAAGTCCGGACTCCAGCGCCACAAAGGCAAGACGGTTATCATTGCCACCATCTCTCCGGCGGGGGCACCCGGTAAGTTTGGGTTTATAGGGTTCGACGGAAGTGTGTACTGAGGGACATGCTGTACTGTCACACAGGGTTCAGGTTGAACCTTGAGAGACTGCGGGGTCAGGTAAGCTAGGAATCCGTCAAGGTAGAGGTGGGGCGCGGAGTGGAAGTACCTACACTCCAAGTTGGGATGCTATAGTATATTGGGGTTATGTGATAATGGAAACTTAGTATATTGGGGTTATATGGTATACAGGAGATGAGGGGCTGCTGAAGCCTTACCTTGAACCCTTCAGGGGCTAGTTTGTGGATCTGTCCCATGTAATTTGTAGAAAGAATGGATTTGCTTCCCCGGCCGCTACTACAAATTCATTCCAGTTTTGTTGCGGCATTTTCTTGGCCCTATCGTCGTTGATCTAGTGATGCTATTGTCTTGAGTTTGACTATTCCAATGTTAGAAGGTTATTTGGACTCTAGGATCATATTCTTGCCGTGCCCATGTTTGGTGGATCATATCATCACTGGTTTACTCAAATTTAGTTTCGTGGTCTTTAGGTTTCCTGAGCGCCTTCGTGCCTTGCTGTCAGAGCCTCAACACCTGCTGGAAACTTGTTTTCTCCAGCTGAGAGGGTGCAGCGGGCAGTGTGACCGCATGACTGTGGTCAGATTGCAGGAGCAAGACTTCACGTTGGGAAAGTTGTCGGATTGCTTTGGCAAAGATGGCAACTTCACCATAGTCGTGGAAGAGCAATTCAAAGATGCCACCAGCAACCCAGAGCTCCCCGAGACAGCTTCAGAAGAGAAAGACCCACAAAGAGACTCCAGCGCTCAAGCTTCTGAATTCTCGCTGAAGCGAACCGAGTTCAAGGTCTGGGCTTCCCTGCTGTCTTTGTGGTCCCCAGTCTCTCAAAAGATGATCGCTGCGGACAATTTCGTGGAAAAACACAAAGGGGAGGTGATCATACGAGACTTCTCAGCCAGCGGGGTAGAGATGTTCCTTCGCTTCTTGTACACTGGAGTTGTAGAAGCTTCCCTAAGTATGCTGGTGGAGCTGGCCGCTCTGGCAGACAAGTACCAGGTCAAGAAGTTGTATTCGCTGTGCCTTGTAGCCGTTTGGGCCGGCCTCACACCGGAGCCTGCGAGGTCTTCGCAGCCGCGGATTTCTTTCAAAAGACCGCCTTGCGCACAAAGGCCTTGGAGAAGATCTGGATCCATCCAGCCAAGGCGTTGAAGCATCGGCCGGTGCTCAGGCCCGAGCTCTTGAAGGAGATCCTGGACTTCAATTTCCTGTGCATAGAAGATGCAGCCATTGTGCAGGTGCTTCGAGGTTGGGGCATCAAGGAAGACTTGCTCCAGCCTCTAGTGGAAGCTTTGGAGGCCCGGGTGCAGGCAACAATCTTTGAGTTTCAGCCTGCACGAAAGCCTGGCGAGTACTCCGAGAATTTGCTGTTCAACTTGTGGTCTCGCTATTGCAAGGCTGGGGAGAGGGGCGCCTTCTTGGGCTACTGTGTTGTTGTGACCCTCGGGCCGCAGCAAGCGGATATGCTCTCCGATAGAAGCCTGACCGAAATTGGGAGGTCTGGCAACATCGGCGGCCTCTGCCAGGGTTGGATCAAATGGGAGCTCCCTCACTCACATGTCTTTGTCATGGACCTAGGTTTCTCATGCAAGATCACTAGTGCAGTGTCGTTCCAGATCCTGTGTTCAGAAGATGGTGATGCATGGCACTTGGCTCACGAGTCAAAGGGACAAGACATTGCGGCCAGTGTCGCGCTGCCTTGCAAGCTGCCACTGGGCTGGGTGAAGTGCTTCAAGGTGCAGGTTCTGGCTGGTCAGATGCCTGCTTATAAGTGTTGTTTGCGCATCCGCGGCATCTTCCAGACAGACTGAGGCGCTCTTGTTGCACAGCTTCGTTAGCTTCCTCAATCTGCTGGTGCTGCATCAACTCACAATGCTGAAGCTTCGGCAGGGTTTGCGCCAGCAAGGTTGTGACATGACAAGTTGCTTGGAATTTGTGGCAGCAAAAGCCTGCCAGGTTTGAATGGACACTTGGCGCCAAAGATTTCTGAACATCATTGGCAACCCACAAAGCCAGGCCGAGGGTGTCGCATGCAAAGGACCAGGCAACATATTACTCTCATCCCGGGCATCCCCATGAAAGTGTGAGCAATCCATGTGCAAAAGTCCCATGGCAGCATGTTGTAGAGTTGCATATTGTGCCCTGCCTCAGGTTTTCTCAAGCAGTTTAAGAGCTTCTGAATCAAAATGCTACAGCTCGCCCCCCGAACTTCCAACTCCCAAACTCCAGGTCCCACAGCTGCGGTCTTTGGACTTCTTTCTTTAAGCTGCAAAACCCTCACCCACAAGACTAGTTCGAGGCCTTGGCTGCAGTCGAGGACGGGCTTGAGCACAACTGTCTGCTTTTCATGCACACATTTTCTGGCAGAACCCTATTGCATTGATGCGTATCTCCAGGTGATATTTCGTCACCTCAAGCCTGAAGCCGAACCAACCCTAAACCACAGAGCCCAAACTATACACCCCACCCTAACCCAACTCACTTCCAACCCTAAAACACTAAACCCCAAACCATACACCCAAACCCCAAGCGGCAACCCCGCAATCCCAAATCTAAACCGCAAATCCCAAACCCTGAGCCCCGAACATCAAACCCTCAACCCCTGACCTGCAACCCTGTGCCATAAGCCCTAACCCTTAAGAGGAGACGATCAGTGCCCTGAGTTATGCGGAGCAAGCTGCAGGCATTAAGAATCGGCCGCCCTGCCATGGTTTTGCTATGCTTTTTCCTTAACACACAGGGCCCAGGTATTGGGATTTAGCAGCTGGGACTGTGTTTTGGGCAACCAAAACTGCAGAATCCATAGAGGCAAATGGGCAGAACCTGCCAGAAGCCAAAAGAGCCTGTGCGTCATGACCATAGGAATCCTAAGCCCCAAACCCTACCAAATCATTGTCGTAACATATTTCTACAGACTTACCTACCTCCCCTTTTTAGGATATACCGTAGAACCATGTTTCCGGCACCTGTTTTTAGGAACGGCATCCAGGGTCCAGGTAATCCATAGTCTAAGCTCCCTAAAGGGGGGTTATGTAAGGGATTATATGGCTTTGGGGTATATTATAATAAGATCCCCATATACCCCATATTCTATCTGCTTAAGGGGGACTATAGTCCTGGCTATGCCAGGCCTGTGGCCTCCTCCCTGCTCCGGACCGCCACAGTGGCCTCCGCGGCGCGCGCAGCCGATGTCAGTGGGGGCCTTGGGGGAAGATAGGGGAGAAGCATCTGAAGAGAGTATACGGCCTTCAGGTTTGGAGTTTGGGAAGTATGTTATTTCTTAAATGCTCCCAACTTTCAGTTTCAGATCTAGGAGAGTCCCGCGCAATACCCCTACAACTCTCCAACCCCAAGCCGGAAGAACTCAAGATTCCAAGCCTTCAATCCAAAAATGTGAAGGCCCACCCCTGTACCTGACCATTCAACCCTAAGCTTCAAACCCTGGCTGACGTAAATCTTGCATCCCTTTGCACCCCGAGCCCAAAGAAGCGGTAATCCTCCAACGCAGCACACAGAATTCCTATTCAGAGTTTAGAAGTTAGGGTTTAGGGTTTAGGTAAAAGTCTCAGCCTTTCGTCTTTTTTAGTCAACGTAAAGTGGGGTTCCATGCACTTCGAGGGAGGTTAATGCCTCCTGAGACCTCAACCCTAAACCCTCGACCCTCAACCATGAATCCTAAAGTCCTAAACCACAAATCCTGAACCCCAAACCCTAAATCCGAAACCTTAAGTTCCAAACCCTAAATCACAAATCCTAAAACCGTAAACCCTAAATCTTAAATCCTGAAACCCTACATAACCCCCTTATGGCTCGCATGGTCCCTGCCTCCGTTCCCATCTTGGCAAAGATGTTTGCATATTCGAGTCCTTCCGAGTCGAACGCTTCTACTGTCACCCTACCCAGAGGGTCCAAGTACCAAATGATCAGATACTTGGGTTAAGGGTAATAGCAGTTGTAGTACAAGTTTTGGGTACGTATATGATTACTAGGCTCTGTGGGTGCTTCTTAGGTTTATATGAACCATACAACTATTTTCAGGAAGCTAGGTCTAGCTGTGGGCCTTCTGTTGCGAACAGGCTCATCCAAGTGTTCAAGGAAGCAAGTGCCAACTTGTCTACATAGGATTCAGAAGGACTGCGGGAGCAAAAAAGGAATGGAAGCTTATAGGTTTAGGGCTTCGATGGTGAAAGCCAGAATCTAAACTTAACATACACCTTAGGTGGACCCCCACCCTGTAATAGTGACTATGAGGGATAATAAGGATTATATTAGGGTCCTACTATGTTCCTATTATACCACTATTACAGGGTGGGGGGTCCTCCTAACATACACCCCTCTTTGCCGACTGTCAAGTGGTATACGCGGGGGGAGGCTCTCAAGGTATCTCCCTTACCCTCACGGGACGCAACCCCTGATTCCTCATGGGTACTTTGCTCGGATGCACATGTAAGGCCAGGGCCGACAGGAATTTACACGAATCATCCGCAAGCATAAACATGCGTAGACCCAACACCAATTTCGCGCAGAAGCTTACGTTTGCCATAGCACTGGCATAGGCACAGGAGTCTGAATCGTACGAGCTCCAAATGCCTGCTAACCTTTCTCAACCCTTCGTGGCTTCAAAATTGAAGCTGAGATTGTATATCATTGGTTTGAAGCTTCTACCATGACGATAAACATGTGGACGGGCCCGGACTAGAAATATGGTAGCTTAAAGAATGAGCGCTCTGAAGCCCTAAACCCCTACACCCTCAAGCCCTAAACCGTGGGGGGACCGTAGGCATCGGTGGGGACCCCCTTCCGCGATTCTACAAGGATCATGTTCAGAAAGTGCCATATGAAGCAGCAGATTAGTAGGCATAATAGTAAGGTGTATTAATACTCATGACATGTATAAAGCAAAAAGAAAATGCAAATTGTAACAACAATAGTGCTAGTAGTAATAATAGTAAGCATCGTACCAGTAATAATAAGAGTAATAACAATGAGAAGATTATACCGCCAGTCATCAATCACAACAATAGCAGTCGTCAGACTACACTCTTATGCTAGTGCAAACTTTCAGGGTCAGGGGAACCCAGTAATAATGAAATCGAAAATGAAACTCCAGTATATTGTTTAGGGTTTAAGGTTTAGAGTTTAGGGTCAGGGGAACTTAGCAAGCATACTTCTAACCCAATGGTCAACCTAATTGCGAAGTCCCCCTGACCCTCCAAGAAGCCTTACTGGGCAGAACTGGGGGTTCGTATCATCCGCCACGGATTGCCCAACAACCAAAATGTATAACCCAGACCCAGGATTAATAAACCCCCTCCCCATAATAGGGATTATATTAGGGATCCTTATATTAAGGCCCTTAAAAGGAGGGGGTTTATTAATCAGGGGTCTACATTAGGGGCCGAAAGCCCGCAAGGAGACCAGTGTTTGCCGTGTGTCCTGTTGGAGACTTTCTATTTGTTGACAACCGCAGACTTGTAGCCGGGCAAACGACTGCGAATACTTCGAAACCATGTAACCGCAACACCCCTAGCTAGGCCCTGAACCCTAAACCCTCGACCTTGAGCCCTGCAGCCTGAACCCTAAACCCTAAACTCTTAACCTTCGAAACGCTGCTGCAGAGATCCCGCGCCTATGATACCGCCTCCCTGAACAACCATCATGCGAGGGATGAAATCGATCTCCTGGGCTAAGGAGTTTGAAGCTTAGGGGTTTACAGTGTAGGGTTTAGAGTTTAGGGTTCAGGGTTCAGGGTTTAGGGTTTAGAGTTTAGGGCTTCGGGTTTATGATTTCATTAGGGCTTAGGGGTTTAGGGGTTAAGCTTTGCTGGATATGTAGGGTTATGATGAGTTTAGGGATATCATCTTGCCAATAATGGACAATCAAATGGAAGAGAACATGGAACATGAAGTGGATGAAGGCTTGTGGACTCACGCTTTATGCAGGCTGATTGTTTTGGAGGTTTGTAGGGTATCCTAAACCTCTGAACCCCTAAAACCTAAACTCTACACCCCAAACCCAACCCTGGGGTTTATTCAAGGCGTTCGGGATGAGGTTGTCTTAGTTACGGGTCTAGTTCTCATGGTTTTGGAGTTATCTTAGTCTGTTAAACTTTGAGCTTAGGGCTTGTATGATAGAGGGTTTAGGGTTGGGGGCTTGCGAGCGTGAATGTTGATGGAAGACACCCTGCACCACGTTGGTTTTGCATTGAAACCTACGATGGGCCGCTTCCCTATGACAGGGTTTAGGGTTCAGGGTTTTGATTTGATGGTCTGTTGCCAAACTGTAGCCCCTACACAAGCCCGTAGATTGCCCCAAGCTAAGAAGCCCGGCATAACCTCAAGCGCGACAGATCCCACTGTGACGAGTCATTCCGTCTCCGGGAATGCATGGCTCCTTTTTCGGGCATTACTGAAAGCTGGGAACTAACCTGGCCAAAAATATTGCGTCTTTTCTCTGAATCCTTACACGGCATTAACGTATAGTCCCCCTTAAGTAGATAGGATATGGCTTTGGGTATATCATAAAAGATCCCCATATACCGTATATTCTATCTACTTAAGGGGGGCTACACCCTAAACCCTATATATCCCTGTATAACCCATTCTAGTAGTTTCCATTTTCTTTTCCATCATCCCTATATAACCCCAATATAACCCTAATATTCTATCTACTTAAGGGGAACCCTAAACCCGAAACCCTAAACCCTAAACCCGAAACCCCAAGCCCTGCAGCTCTTTGATAGGCGCCAGGGCGATCTGGAACAGCATGCTCTCTGAGGCTTCCAGGGTTTAGGGTTTAGGGTTTAGGGGTT